ACATAATAAAGGGATCACACCGAGAAAAGGATCACATAATAAAGGGATCACACAGAGAAAAGGATCACAGAAAAAAGGGATCACACAGAGAAAAGGATCACAGAAAAAAGGGATCACACAGAGAAAAGGATCACAGAAAAAAAGGGATCACACAGAGAAAAGGATCACAGGAAAAAAAGGGATCACAGAGAAAAGGATCACATAATAAAGGGATCACACAGAGAAAAGGGATCACACAGCAGTGAACCTTCTACTGAATAAAGACGAGTGATCGTGAGCCGCTAGCCTGGGTGCTCACTGGGTAGCTTGCTGCTTTACCCTCCAGGGTTGGTCTTCCCATGATGTGTGGATTGTTCTGTGTGCTCCCTTGGTGGACTGACATCCCATCCATATGCTGCCTGGGACTGGCTCCAGGCCGCCCACAACCCTGACTAGGTTAACTGGTTAGAAGATGGATGGGTGGGTTACATATGGGGTCTGCCTTCAGAACATCCCATCCTGGGTTTACCTCTCCACTTGTGTTTTCCTTGTTTTATTCTGAAAATGTTTTACATGCTGATTTGCACAGTTCTCCTTTCTCTCCGTGTGTTAGGTATCTAAAATCGTTCATTAATTGAAGAGCAAATTTCCAAAACTCAGTCCATTGTGTGTTATTTTTGAGACCATCAACGACTTTAATCAAGGTTCTCCTCATAATATGTTACAGGACTGGGAACCAAAATTCACTTGGTCCTCAAGCAATCCAGTGAAGAATTATCATTCATTTCCCTCAACCAACTTAATCCATGTTTAATGTTCTCAAAAATATATTCTGTGTATTGAGTTAGTTTTGGAAATTTGATCTTCAGTTTTGTTTTCAGTAAATGTTCAAAAAGAAAATCAAAAGAAAATTATTGGAGAGCTTCCCGATTTCCTGATACCGTCTGCTGTGCCTCTGCATTCTCCCTGTGTGAAGACAGTGAGGTCATATTACAAACATATACATTACAAACATATACACTTATTTATTTTTTTATTTACGAATGCTTAGCACTGAACATGTCTTTCTCATTCAAATACCAGTGTCTGATCTCCTAACCAAGCCACCCTGAAGTATTGCAGTCCTTATGCTGACGCTGCAGAGAGGATTCAGATGATGTACCCGATTGTTTCAGATCGTAAAACTGATAAAGGCTTCGAAGGAGCGGCCCATTACCCTGGGCATTGGGGATGGAGCCAACGACGTCAGCATGATTCTTGAAGCTCATGTGGGCATCGGTGAGTGTGACTGAACGGGGGGGGGGGGGGGGTTTACATGAGTGTGGCTGCTCTAGCCATATCTTAATGGTCTGTACTGTATCGGTCCCCTTTATGCGTATTAAATACACTTTCTGCAGAGGTTCAGGATTCATAATGAACACAATTAACCTTGTTGACCTCTTCTCTCTTTTTTGATGATTTTTTTTCCCCAGGCATTATGGGTAAAGAGGGTCGTCACGCGGCGCGGAACAGTGATTACGCGATCCCCAAATTCAAGCACTTAAAGAAGATTCTCCTGGTACACGGACATTACTACTACATCAGGATTGCTGAGTTGGTGCAGTACTTCTTTTACAAGGTAAAACAAACTGCGTGATGTAAGCAAATTGATAAAGGAATTAACACCAGCATAGATATTACGCAGCATAGATCAGCCCTTCTGTTTAGTGATATGTTAGTGTCTCATATTGCAAGCATTTACTGTGCTGTTTGTGTTTAGTCTGTTCAGTACAGTGTTTCCCAGTCTGGTCCTTGGGGACCCGCAGATCTGCATTGTTGCTCTCTACTGGGAGCTGGGAGGGAGCAAAAACGTGGACTGTCTGTGGGTCCGTGAGGACCGGGTCGGGAAATATATCCATCCATCTTACAAACACTTTCAGAGATGAGGCAACGTTACTATCCACTGAACCATGCCTCCTCTGTTTAATATGTTTGTGTAAAATTAACATACAACTGTATTCAGGCATTTCTATGTCAAGGTTTTCACTCTGTTTCTCTTTGTCACTCTGTCCAGAATGTCTGTTTCATCTTTCCTCAGTTCCTCTATCAATTTTTCTGCGGTTTCTCACAGCAGGTACGTGCTCCAACAGATAACATGCACTATGAAACCCTAACATATCCAACATATTCAATATTCCAAAATGCTCAATGCCGGACACAGTCTGTGTGTGTGTGTGTGTGTGTGTGAGGTTTACCTATCCTTATGGGGACACAATGTCCCCATAACGTGATAAATATCCGTTTTTTTTCCCTTATGGGGACCGGTTTCCTGGTCCCCATAAGGGAAAACTCTATTTTATAAAAATTGGTGACTGCTATGAAAAAACTAAAAATGCAAAAACTCTTGTATTTTGTTAGGTTACTTATGGTTATGGTTAGGGCAGGGTGGGGGTTAAGGTTGTCATAGTTAGTGTTAGCATTTTTCCCATTGAAATGAATGAGCGGTCCCCATAAGGATATGTTTACCCTACATGCGTGTGTGTGTGTGTGTGTGTGTGTGTGTGCATAATTTATTTTTGCCTAAGTACTGCCCCCTATGCCCAAGTTATTTAAAATGCCTCGCTTTACTGGGATATCATCCCTTTTAATGTACATGTGTCAAAGGCTTTGAGCACCTGTCCCTTAATGCGCCTTAGTAGTGCACAGTACTGCCTGGGATTAACCTACTATAACATTCCTGGTTTCTACTGACCTTCACAGTTCTTCCTCCCCTGGGGACACCATTACAGTTCAATTATCAGATTAGCAGCCGTTGCGTTGAGTATAATCCTACTCGCGGACGATTCGATGCACCCCGCTGTGCTCCAAATACGAAACTCCCAGACTGTCCTGCATCTGCTACTCTGGTGTTCTGTTCTCGCCGGCTAACACTGCCCTCCGCATCCCCGTCTGCTCAGCCTCTGTATGACACGGCCTATCTGACGCTGTACAACATCAGCTTCACCTCCCTGCCCATCCTACTCTACAGTCTCATTGAGCAGCATGTCAGCATGGACATCCTGAAGAGAGATCCGTCTCTGTACAGGTGAGCACTTAACCCTTTTAAAACCCATCTTGCCAGCCTCCCCTCTCCCCCATGCAGATTTGCTCTTTACGTCTCTGACTCGGAAAAAAAGAAAATCCCAGATCATAAATCCATCTCTTTACAACTCTTGTATGGGGTGAGTACTGTAGTCTTCATTTGTGACTAAAGCAGAATTAAATCCCTCTCGGAATGCCCACCTATTCGAAGGACCTGCTTTTGTATTAAACTGGATCGGTGAAATAGTGCAGGCAGGCCTTAGGGACGGTTACAGTTAATCCAGCATCACTACTGAAAGGAGATTAATGGAGATAATGGTAGACAAGGGGATGAGTTTCCTGCGCATTTCTCCTTCCTTCCTTTGACAGCAGCGACCTGCAGAGCCCATGTCCCACATGAAGTTTACTTTTACTGAACTTCCCAGCTGAACTTCCCAGCTCTCGGCTTTTCCCCCAATGGCTTTTCAATGAAGACTGTGATGGTTACACTTCGAAATGTTCTCTATTTAAATATGTTTCTACCTTCTATTTCAGTACTCGCCATTTGTGGATTTGTGCTTTTAAGCTAAATTTATATCCTGCGAGAGGGTTTTTTTGGTTCCTTTTTCTTTTAAAAATCAATAGAAAGGCCACAACCCTTCACAGCTACCAAGCTCGCAAACCTGGCCACTCTGCTGAGCTGCGGGGGCTTAATGACTGATGAAAAACTATTTTTGTTATTTGCTGAGATGGTTAAAGATCTTTCCAAGGTGAATTTGGTTTATTGGCATGATTGTGTCAGTGTCGGGCACTTGGAGGAGGCTGACTGATGAAGCACTCTAGGCTCTAACACAGCACTGTTAATCAGCTCTGAACTCTGGGCTCCTGATACGGACATAACTTCCGGATTTTTTGCCAGTTTTCACATCTTGTGTGTCTCCTGCAGGGACATCTCTAAGAACTCCCTCTTATGCTGGCGGATCTTTATCTACTGGACGTTCCTGGGCGTGTTTGACGCCGCTGTCTTCTTCTTCGGGATTTACTTCCTTTTCGACGATGCCACTTTCACCAGCAATGGGCAGGTAAGGTGAGAACGCCTCAGACGTTGCCCACCAGAGGGCCAACTTTAGGGGGTTTCTTCCTAACAACAATCCTTATAAAACAGATTAATCTGTACCATAACTTCTCCATGTACCTCCTTTTAGCAAAAGGCCAAATACGAGAAATTTCTGACGTGCGTGGCATTGTTAAAGAGGCAAACACATGACTCTGTTGCTAACAAAAGTCTCACACATGCAGGCCCTCATTCACAGGGGCCTTCTCATTCACGTCCGACCCGCAGTAGCTCGTTACGCTGAGGACATCTGTCTCATTCGCGTCCGACCCGCAGTAGCTCATTACGTTGAGGACATCTGTCTCATTCGCGTCCGACCCGCAGTAGCTCGTTACGCTGAGGACATCTGTCTCATTCGGGTCCGACCTGCAGTAGCTCGTTACGCTGAGGACATCTGTCTCATTCACGTCCTACCCGCAGTAGCTTGTTACGCTGAGGACATCTGTCTCATTCGCGTCCAACCCGCAGTAGCTCGTTACGTTGAGGACATCTGTCTCATTCGCGTACCTGTCGCAGTAGCTCGTTACGTTGAGGATGTCTGTCTCATTCGCGTCCGTGCCGCAGTAGCTCGTTACGTTGAGGACGTCTGTCTCATTCGCGTCCGCACCGCAGTAGCTCGTCACGTTGAGGACATCTGTCTCATTCGCGTCCGTGCCGCAGTAGCTCGTTACGTTGAGGAAGTCTGTCTCATTCACGTCCAACCCGCAGTAGCTCGTTATGCTGAGGACATCTGTTTCATTCGCGTCCGACCTGCAGTACCTCGTTACGCTGAGGACATCTGTCTTATCCTTTATTTATATCACATTAACCTTTTTGAATTTTTTTCTGCTCAGCTTATTTTTTCAGTTTCAACATCCTGATTTTTACTCTTTTTTTCTTCTTCCTCCTCTTTGTATTCTTGTTGTTATTTGTTTTGCCCTTTTACTTCTCTTCCTTTCCTCAGCTAATGACCACCAACACACAAATGGTAAGCCTGTCCCTTTCTCTCGGCTTCCTGTTTTGGTTTCGCCGTTTCCCCCATAATGCATCAGTCCCTCATATTTCGTATAGTCCATTTCTTTTTCTTCTGTGCCCAGTCTTCCCACACACCGCGGTTGGCGTAGGCAACCCCATCCATGTCTTGCTGTTTCATTGTGGTAGTTTCCGTAATGTAGGACCACATGCTGTCATCATGTGAGCCTGGTTACCATACGTGTGGAGTGATGGTAACCGACAAAACCATGTAGCGCTTGTAGGACACATCTCTACTAACTTCAATGGCAAAAGATAATTCAACGCAAAATTGCAGAGGCGCCCTTATTTCATAGAGTATATCATATGGCACATCACTCTGTGTAAGTGATGCTAAAGGGTATTCATTAAAATGTAGACGACTGTATAATCAGTGTTTCATAATTATGCATAATATATATGCATTCAAACTTAAAGTAAATAAACTTCAACTGAATCTGTTTTATTGACTGCTTTTGATGTATGTATTTAAATGGAGCAAACAAACACTAATAAAATGACCAATCATTTTGGCAATGGTAAGTTAAGGCCCATTAACTCCTTGCACTTCCTGAATTTCATTTGCCTTTGAAATAATCAAGTATAGCTTCCATGTTATTTGTTTGGAAAACACAGTAAGAGCACAAACAGATAGTGAGTATGTTTACATTAATTAGAGCCCCATTTATAGAGTAAATGTTTTTTCAGGGGCAATTGAGTCAATACGGTAAATTACCAGAACAAGTATTTTTATTAGGACAGCAATAATATTATTGTATTTGCACTTGGGTGAAACTGACCTTTCTAATAGTCAACAGTAACAGGGACTTGTGACATTCTTCTGCTTTTTGCACTATGGTTTTTCAAAAGTTCAACATCGTAGGAAGATCACTGACCTGATCTTGACACTATTTAAATTGGGCAGCGTTGGGATGTGTGTCCTTTTCGTTCCAGTTTTCTTTCAGTGAAATAATCAGAGATTGATTATTATGATTTGGAATTATGGAACATTTTGACGTGAAACTGCAATGTGCAAAACAGTATGAAGCTCCAGAATAGGCACTGGCCAGACTGCGTATCCAGTCTAGCCTGGAGTCGTTCCCAGGAAGCACAGAACACATGGCAGGGAAAGACCTCGGGTAGAATGCCAGTGTAAACACAAGCTGTCAGCATGTTTGATAGAATACTGAGTAATTGTATTCAAGATCAATGTAAAATAACTATTGAATACAGTGAAAGCAGATCAAGGTTAAAAGTAGCATCAAACGCTAAATGAAACATTTAAAATGCAGATAGTTCACAAGAGATTTGTAGGGCGGTTCTAGGTCAGAAACGATTCCCAGTTTACCTGTTGGCGAGATTAGTTTTATGAACCCTTGGTTTCAGATGTGACATCAGTGCGGTGCTCACAGTCGCCCGCTGGATGCTGAAATGCAGAAACGCGTTGTGTCATGTGCCAATTGGTGTGACAGATTAAAAGCGATGCCGCCAGGCCAAGCTCCGTCTTTGAAATTCAATTACCGATGAGGGGCTGGAGTGCACTCGGGAGGTGTGTATGCACACGGGAACTTTGTGTGCACACGGGAGCTGTGTGTGCACTCGGGAGCTGTGTGTGCACTCGGGAGCTGTGTGTGAACTCAGGAGCTGTGTGTATACACGGGAACTTTGTGTGAACTCGGGAGCTGTGTGTGCACACGGGAGCTGTGTGTGCACTTGGGAGCTGTGTGTGAACTCGGGAGCTGTGTGTATACACGGGAACTTTGTGTGAACTCGGGAGCTGTGTGTGCACACGGGAGCTGTGTGTGAACTCGGGAGCTGTGTGTGTACACGGGAGCTGTGTGTGCACTCGGGAGCTGTGTGTGAACTCGGGAGCTGTGTGTGCACACGGGAGCTGTGTGTGCACTCGGGAGCTGTGTGTGAACTCGGGAGCTGTGTCTGCACACGGGAACTTTGTGTGCACACGGGAACTTTGTGTGAACTTGGGAGCTGTGTGTGCACACGGGAGCTGTGTGTGCACTCGGGAGCTGTGTGTGCACTCGGGGTTTCAAATGTGTTTTTAACAGGCTGTTCAGATTTGATATGCAGTGACTTTTTTGCTGATTTTCCTCATTCAAATGAAGTTTTTGGTAACAAACAGATTCCGCCGGTCGGGAGCCTCATTATTACACACGTTGCGTTGTGTTATTCTTACAGATGTTTGGCAACTGGACGTTTGGAGCACTTGTCTTCACCGTTTTAGTCTTCACCGTCACACTAAAGGTAACTCCCTTCTCTGCACCCAGTGCATATTATGGCATTAACATTGCACCAGTGTTAGTTCATTGGTTTATTTTTTCTTTCTTGATTAATTTCAGCTGGCTCTGGACACGCACTACTGGACGTGGATTAATCACTTTGTCATTTGGGGTTCCTTACTCTTCTACGTTGTCTTCTCGTTGCTGTGGGGAGGCATTATTTGGTACATTTCTCCTTCATATGTGCATTTGCATTCTCCACATTTCCGTAATTGCAAATTAATCTGTTGACATACAGCGGTGTGCAGAAGACTTAAACTGCCAAAGAAAATAGCTTGAATTCTTTGTTGTTGTAAAACCATGATTTTATGTTTCATACCTTAACCTCTCCTAAAGTCACCACAGAATTTTCAGCAACCAATATACCCATGTGTTTGTTATCCTGTCTACAAGCAGACCATATTTAACTTGTTAATATCTTGCTAAATAATTTAATTATGTTAAATGAGCTGGTGGTGAAATTTAATGAATACATCAAATGGTTCAGATGCTCCTAAAGAGAGGTTTGGGAGCCAAAGCTGTGGTCTTCATGCCATCCAGCAAGATACCAGTAACTTTTTGGAGAACAGAAGAATGTCTTGCTACTTTTAATCGTGTTACAGTTCATTTGCATATATTATAAGGTTTTTTTCAAGATCAAATTGTGTTTTTTTTTTCTAAACATTTATTTGACAGTCTAAGACTGTGTTTTTTATTATTTCATATTTGTTTTGTATGAAATGATAAATCTGGTATTTTGAAACGTACCATAATTTGGGTATGAGTGGGTTTGGGAAATGAGTGCCTCTGGCTCCCCCTACAGGCCGTTCCTGAACTACCAGCGGATGTACTACGTGTTCATGCAGATGCTGTCCAGTGGGCCGGCCTGGCTTAGCATCGTCCTGCTGGTCAGCGTTAGCCTGCTACCCGACGTGCTGAAGAAGGTGCTCTGCCGGGCCTTGTGGCCAACCACCACCGAGCACATCCAGGTGAGCTGAACACACCAACGCCTAAGCCGGTTCACAAAGCTGAGATAGGGTTAGATTAACTGGACCACTTATAAATAATATCATAAATAATAAATATATAAAGTATAAGCAATGTTTATATTATATTTGTCCACTGGCCTTTACAATTATATTTGCTGTGGGTATTTTCCTGTATTTTGGAAGCGATTTAAAATTAAGGTTATTATCTAAACTTTTCACCTTTTCATATATTTATTGGGTGGTTTTATTCACTGAAAGAAAAAAAATCTGAATTGTAAAGTACTGGTAGAAAATTAAATCTACTTAAATAAATAAATCTACCTAAATAAATCTAAAATAAATCTACCAATACTTTATAAGAAGATTTGGGAGAGTGAAGTGATTTTCTCAGTTGGATTTTAGACTTTCCTTCTGTTCTTTCCTCCTTGAATTGCAGCCATCAAAGTATCATCCACAGCTTCCACTTCCTCACCAGTTAACACTAAAATCAGAGAAATAAAAGAAATATGCACATATAAGTTGAGACATCAGTCACGCTTTCTTCCTTAGATGGGAACCAGTTTATCGTGAGCTATTAAAACTGGTTACCAACTGGATTTTGATATTATGATTATGTGACTCACTGTAATTCACAAGGAACAAACATCTATAAGCATGTTGATATGCCTCAGAAGTCCTTAGTAAGATTAAAATAAGTTCGGGAAATTAAATGGCTCAGTGAAATACAGTACCTGTCAAAAGTCTGGCCACAACAACTGAAAATCATTTGTTTTCCATAAAGATAATGACCCTAAGCTCACTTCAAGGTTATTTATAAATAAGTATTATCTTGTGAACAAGGAACGAGATGGAGGGCTGTGACAGATGACCTGGTCCTCACAGTCCCCCAACCTAAACCCTACAGAGCTGCTTTGGCATGAGTTGGATGGAAAAGTAAGAGCAAGGTAGCCAACTTGTGCCCAGAACTTGTCCATCAGGACTGTTGGAGAAGCATTGCAGGTGGCTACATTTGGAAGCTGGTTGAAAGAATACCAAGAGTCTGCAATGCTGTCATCGAACCAAAAGGGGACTATATCGAAGAGTCTAAGATTTCAAAATATTTTCAGATGTTGAACGCTTGACTTAGTCATTGCAATATTTCATATGTATTACTTCTTTGCTTTGAGGCATTTTACTATAAGTTGAATAACAGCTAAAATATAGATAAATGCAGGTATGTCAAGACTTTTGATTGGTACAGTAGGTGAAATCAACATTAATTGACGGTGTATAAAATGTGTTTTAAGATGTCCTTTTTTATTTAGCGCTAAATTCTCAAACACAGTGGAATGTCAAAGCTGCAGATTTTATTCCTGTGCCATCTTCCTCTTCCTCTTCCCTGTTCTCCACTCCTTTCCCTTCTCTCGGAACCTCCAACCCTCCGGTCGCGTCTGTGCCTGACTCACTTCCGGGAAACGGCAGACTAAGCGACAGTGCCTTGCTGTTGAGCGGTCCGCCATCTTTATGCTGTCACAGACCTCCAGCAGTATAGGTTTTTAGAAGAAGGGGAGGTGAATATTTCACAGTTTCTGCATGATTACACCTGTGATGGCTGTGGGATACTCCTCATATGGGATACATGTCATGTGAGATACTCCTCATGTGGGATACATGTCATGTGGGATACTCCTCATGTGGGATACTCCTCATGTGGTATACTCCTCATGTGAGATGCTCCTCATGTGGGATACTCCTCATGTGAGATACTCCTCATGTGGGATACTCCTCATGTGGTATACTCCTCATGTGGGATACTCCTCATGTGGGATACACCTCATGTGGGATACTCCTCATGTGGGATACTCCTCATCACTATCGCCAGTTAATGCTGCTTTACATGAACCTTTGTTGCTCTTTTCTGCTCACTAACTTGCTCTTAATCAATGTTACATTGTGGCAGATAAGTAAATCAGACTTTAACGCTTTTTGAAATGTTTATTTTAATGCAAATCAGCCACAGTAGCTAAATCAGAAAGATTTATTATAAACATACACAGCAAGCAGCCTTCGTTTTCTGCAGTGGTTGGCAGTTGAGTTCAGGTAGTCGGTGATGGTATCCCCTGGAATTCCTCAGCCTCCGCATGGTCTCGTCCTCCGTGCAGAAGGACGTGCTGTTTCAGTGTGCATGCCTGCATGTACCTCAACACATTTTTCTTTTTAAGTTTATTCATGTTTGTTTGTGCTTCCGCAAGCCAGAACTCAAGATGGATTCTAAATGTTGGACTTGTACCAGAAGTGAGCCGCAGTCCTTTATACCTCAGTATTTGAGCTCCAAAGGCAGTTCTGAGCAAGCAACTTACACTTTTGTGCCTGCAAATGCTAGGTGTTGCTCCAGTGGTCGGGGAATCACACCCAACATGCTCCACCAGATGATTAGAGCATTAGATGTAGGTGCTGACACATGGGCACTACAGCACTCTTAATGCGATTGCATTACACACAGCAGCCACAAGTACTCCTAATGTGTTTATGTACGCCTCTGTAGCCTGAAAACAAGAACGGAACGGTTTAGGAGGAGTTTTTACCCACAAGCAGTGAGACTCCTAAACCACAGCACATAACGGGGCAACACAATGGACAACTACACACACAACTTAATTTCTTCCATCTG